TGGGGAGGGGGGGAGTTTTGAGTTGTCATAGGGAACTCTTGGTGCAGCATGAACATTGTTTAGGTTTTTTTAAAGTTTTAGTAAAATTTTACGCGCTCCCAACTACATAAGGGCATATGAGCGCTAAGGGTTGGATGTCAACAGAGAAGTCTTAACGAGGAATCGGGCTTATTCTGGTCGCCTCTCTAGCTTCAACAGCACAAAGTCTGCTTCAACTATCAAGGCACCCCGGAAATAGTGGGTCACAAGAGTGTAACAAACATACAAAAAAGTAGAGGAAAATGACGATAGTAAGGATGAGGAAAGGAAAAGCAGCAGTTCCCCCTATGTTGTTCCGGCACAGTATGAGCATGACATTGATAAATCAGCCCATTTACAAATCAACTTTGCATAAGAACATGTGAAGACCCCCTTTGGGAATGGCCTAAAGACACTTCAGTCTGTGGCACTGCCCTGGGGGTGGTGGTGGGGTGTATCTCTTAAATAACTTAGCAGTATTGAGACGGCGTTTAACCCACACACGTTTTATATACTCCCAAAGCGGAATTATGATCGCTCACTAAATTATCGTCGCCCGTTGTCACGTCAGTTCTTTGTTTAAATCTGAGGCCAATAACCTGATCAAAAGCTAAAAGACAGGGTGTCAGCACGGGTCACGATAGCACAGTGGCTTGGAGTGGTTGGGGAACATGGTAGTTGATGGAAGGGGTGGGGGGAGGGAGGTTAGGCTTAGAGTTGTCATTGGGAACTCTTGGTGCAGGATGAACATCTTTAGGGAAACATTCAAGGCTTCCATTCCTGATTTCAGGGGCACTGAGTGTGTGTCTGTGTGTGTGTGTGTGTGTGTGTGCATCTGTGTGTGTGTGTGTGTGTGTGTGTGTGTGTGTGTGTGTGTGTGTACATATACACACTACACGTATGATTAAATAGAAGGTGGGGATCTGCTTATAAATTCGGTTATGTATTCTGCTCACACATTCATTTTTTATCTAGAATGTGACCAATGTGTATGTGTATGTGAGTGTGTATGTGTGTGTGTATGTGTGAGTGTGTGAGTGTATGAGTGTGGGTATTGTACGTATACGTGAGTGAGTGTGTGTGTGTGTGTGTGTGTGTGTGTGTGTGTGTGTGTGTGCGCGCGTGTGAGGGCACTTACCCGAGTGAAGCCAGCCTTTATGAGAGAAAAGATAGGCTGTTCCTCCTGATCAGCAGATCTGCAACAGGAGAAAAAAGAATGAGTCTTAGTTTTAGTAGACGTTTTACGGCGCTCGGAAATGCAAAAGGTCATATGAGCGCCAGAAGATTAGAGGTGTCACAAGAGAGTAGCAAACATAAAAAAAGAAGAAGGGGAGATAAGAACGATAGATGTTTGATAGGAAAGAAGGAAACCACACCAGAGCACCCG